TTTAAAGAGAAAAAAACAATTGGAGGTGGCGGCCGGGAAAAAAAAAAAAAAAAAAAAAAAAAAGGCAAGGTAATCATGAGCTCTTGCAGCAAACCAGCTTATCCTTTTTCATGATTCAGCTTCACATCTAATTACGTAACAGGACATAATAGGTAGTCTCAAAAGGTAAGGTAGTACCTCGATAACTATATAAATAGAAATACTTTTCAAGTTTTTGAACTTGGTTCCGTTGACCTACGTGTTGGTATATAGCTTGCCCGTCACTGAAGCACGTTTGCTGCCCAGTGCCACCGGCCTTTAAAAGGGGTAAGAAATCCACTGTGGTGGGGCCTGTGCGCTCGGCTGTAACGGGCTGCCGCACCCCTACGCGGTGCTCGCTGCAACGCCGGCCCTGCCTCTCCTCCGTTACCTCCTCAGTTTGCGAGGCGAGGATGCAGCGGTGCTCGGCGGAGGGGTGCGTCGTTCCCGCTTTTCTCCAGAAGAAGGGAAACCGGGTTCGGTTACAGGAACGATGACGGAGCGAGGGATTCGATTCAAGCGGTTTGTCCCACCCGTTTTTAGGGACACAGCGAGCAGAGGGGCAGATAAATCTGTAGGCAGGAGTTGAACCAAACCAAACCTGTGGTTTTCCAACATAGAAAGCCAAACTCTTCACATTTGGGTTATTTAAGAAGCTGTCAACTTCTGAATTATAATAATAATAATAAAATCTATGTATTAACTCTTAAGGCCATGCTTTCATCCTTAGTTTTTCAATGCTAGAGGGTTAGATAAAGGAACTTTTTTATATTAAGCAACTTAATTATCTGAGATAAGCTACTCAACAGTTCAGAAAGCTTTTTTGTCCAAGATTGATTGTGTGTGTGTGTGTTTTAAGAGTTCAGGGCCTGTGTGTTCACTGAAAATTAGTAGAAATACTGGCTTAAAAAGCAGTTGGAGAAGCTACTACTGGATAGTACTGCGATTTCCCCCCCAAATTTTAAGCTACTTTTTAAAAGGCGTGAGAACATTAAGAGACGTTTATGGACAAGAGCGGCTGTGTTGTGTTCACGCTTCACACATTCACAGACGACGGGGACGGTAAATTAAGACCTCAGCGTAGAGGACAAGTTACAGATTCGAGCGCAGTACCTGGATTTCTTTACTACTAGAAAATAAGCCAGTCGGGGCTTGTTTTGCACATTAGCGGAGGGGTGGTGTTACGTTAAGATACTGCTGTAATGGAGAGTTTTAAGCAGATTTTATTCTCAACTGTACCAGGAAAAAGTCGTTGGTACCAGTATGTGAAGATGTGTTGCCTTTTGTTGGCTTGTTTTTTTTCTAAGAACGTAATGAACCTTGTAAGTCTATTGCATTAAAGATGTACAAAAGCAAATGGAACCTACTCTGATCTAGGACACGTAAATAAACAATCAGCTGATGTCAAATTTGAATTTGTTTCAATTATTTCCAATTTAACTAAAAGTTTTCTATTAGAAGCAGAAGATCTACCTGCGTGCGTCGGGTGCAGGATAAACGACAGAGCTGGTGTGCTGCCGTTACTGACCTTTAGCGCTAAGCTCAGGCTCGCGGTTAACCTAAATCTCAACCACAGAAGTATCTCTAGTGTGTGCGGGGGAGGGGGGGGAAGTAAACAAAAAGAAAGCACATTTACAAAATTATTGAAAAACATTTATTATACTTAAATTGAAATGTGTACATCTTATTAAAAAACAAAAGCAATTTGCTGGTGCCATAATTTAATTCCAATTTCAAGTGAGCTGGACAAACTACTGTACAACTTTCAATATTCTTTAAAATTAGATATTTGGATACTTTCCAATCAAGGATTTTTCCACTTTTATAAAACATTTGGATTTGAATACGGTGTGAGCTGGAAAGACACAAGGTCAGTTCAAGAAAATAGTAGGACCAGACAATACCCAAAGATGAACAACTTATAGGCAGAAATGTTTAAGTACACAAAATTTTACTTTCAGTGCAGAAAAAAAAAAAAAAAAAAAATAGGAAAGAAACCCTAGCTTTGATGAATTTAAATTTTCAAAATGCTACAGCTTGAAGAAGCTTTTCTGCTAAGCACTTGAGCCAGTTATGAAAGAGGGAATGCAAAAAACCCAAGTTGCTTTTTTACATGCTGCAGTAGTTGTTTACATTGAACACTGCAGCACAAAAAGCAAACTCTTCCCAAGCTTTTAAGCCGGAGATCAAGGTGGAACCTTTCAAAGGCACAAAATGACAGCTATGAAACTGCCACTTACTTAATACCTTTTGAAATAGTCCCCTCTAAGTACCTAACCAGTTGAAACTTAACCTAGGAAATGCTGTGCCACGTCTTTACAAGAAATATCCAAACTATTGAAAAAGCACATTGCCTGTTTCAAAGAAAAGTAAGTATTTGGTCAGACGGAAGAGGCACTGTAACAGCTGTACAGTATGGATGGGAGGGCGGAGAAGGGGCAACAGAAAAGGTAAGATACTTGTCCATAATAGCAACTACAGCAAGGCGTTTACCTGCTGGTAAGGAGACTAAAGTGGTGTATATTTAGTGTTTCTTAAGCAATTTATCTGATGTTGCTGAAAGCTGTGGCAGCCCTGTGGTGCCAGTGGGCCATCTTCCCTCATCAGCATAATGCCACCAAGTCATAAAAATCCACCCCTCACTGCTAGTATTTGTAAACCCACAATTTTACAAGCAAAGAGTTAAACTGCAGCAGTGCTCCGCAGAGAACCTAGGAAACTAAACATAAAAGGATGCATAGGCAATTCTTTTCCATTAAATTTGTTAAAGCAAAACACAATTACTTGGTACCCCATAGGATTTATATTAATCCCTCCGATAAGGTACTATTGATAATGCAGTTTGCTGCATGCATATATTGCATCTGTCTAGGGCTCCTTAAAAGCCCTGCTCTGGCATTTACACTTCTTACATACACTCTTATACACAATTTACACGGGAAGCTGTTTTGACAGCTTTACTCTCAAAGACCCGACGACCTGATCACTATCAGCTTAACTACTCATCTCCACACAGATTAATATGTGCTCTGCTAACATCAAAAAAATAAAACCAGCATCAGGTACAAGCAAGTAACAGACAAACTGGCACAGAAAGGTAAATGCCCCAAAATGAGTTTACATTCATCTCCAACTGGATACAGAGAATAGAAAAGCAGCAGCGCTTCGCTTCTAGAAACTGTATCTACTGGCCGCGATTTGCCTTGTTTTAGTAAAGGGCAAGCACCTTTGCTTACATTGTCTTCCATGCCTGTACGTAAGCTGTCATGGCATTCTACCTCTCATGAGGACACTTGGCTATGGCAGTGATAAGAAAGTTCACCTATCAAACAGCTCGTTAGAAAGGTCATCTTGTGTTTTCAATATGAAACATCTTATACGGTGAAGTTAGATCCTAAGGTTTTGGATGATCTTCATAATCTTTCGGCAGGACTTCATTCTGCGTTGGCGTATCTGTCTAGCGATTGTGGGACATCACTTCAAAATTATATGGAAGCCTTCACCATTTTCAGCTGAAAAAGAAAAAAGCGTCAGTCTTTCGTAAATAGAACCATAAATACACGAGCCAACACGCTGCAGCCTCAAAGTATGGACTTGGTTTTTACTGTGTAGAAGTGATTCACTACTACTATGAAATATTAAACTTGAAACATGTGAAATACCGGTAGCCTGCTCTTCAGACTAAACCCTTGAAGAATAACTAAACTTCTAAAAATCTCTTTGGTTTGCAGTTATTTCTGAACTCTTCCTACTACACCTTAAACCTGCCTCATTTGCCAGCGACAGTTAATATCGGAGAAGGAAGTTACCTTCTGCAAGACCAATCTAAATCCTTAGCGTATGTTTTTAATCATCTATTTTGGGATGCTCAGCCTTAAACTAGACAGCCAAATGGAAACAGCGTTTAAAAAAAAAAACCCACCTGTGGATTTTACGCCTAGAAGCTAGCGGTACCACCAAAAGGCTTAACGACTGAGACAAACGGGTCTCTCACAATCACTAACCACGTGAACAGATTTTATACTACGCAGAACAATTGGTTTCACGTTAGGATGCTGATGAAGTGAAGCAGACTTTAAAAATACAGCTGATCGACAGGGAAAACCTGGCTTTTAAAAATCTCCTACTTGTGCTGAACAAAAATGTCACGACTAGCAATTTGCAATTGCATCTTCAAAGTCGGGACAGTTTCTGTGGGTAAAATTTGCACAGAGTCCAACTTGTCCACTGATGATAGCAATTTCCTGGCACCTTTTACGAGAAATAAACTGGTCTCCTAAGGAAGTGTGGGGTTCACCTGAAACTCCTGGTGTTTAAAAGGGAGGCTCACAACACCCATTGAGGAAACCTGAACAACAACATTCGTGGACCAAGGTTGGCTGCATCTTAGTTGCATACAATTAAAATGATTCTACCCACGTGGCCGCACGGGGCAGGGAGGAGTTTGTTCCCGTTCACGTCCACCAGCGGATGCTGAACAGCAGCCTGACGGGAGCGAGTCTTTGTGAGGCCGAGGAAATGCGCTGGAGCCTTCCCGGCAAAATGGCCGCGTCCTGCCTACAGCACCAGCCTACCGGAGAGGATTACGTACCAGCAGCAAAAGAACAATTTTATACTCGGTTCTGCCAACTCTCAGGACTCAGTTAACATTCAGTTTCTGAGCTTCAGAGGTACTACTGCCAGGATTAGTATTATTTTTTTTTTTTAACTATTTTGAAACATCACCATTCTCAACGATTAGTAACAGCAAGCACTGTTCAGTCATGGTTGACTGAATTTTAAATGAGGTTTGTTACCAAGTGCCGCACTGGTTCTGAACTGAAAGCTTGGAGAAAAGACGGAGGTTCTACGCAGAGGCTGAAAGGTCTGGCTAAGAGAGGAGGAGCTCATGGATATTTTATGCCACTACTGTAGGCAGATTTTTGGGGTTTTTTTTGCAAGTCAGCCTTCACTAGAGCTGCTGTTACTCTTTGCTTGGGCGAGTTTTACTAGAATAGTATTCTGATTTAAAGGTGGCTCCTTGGTAGAATAAACAATTACGTTTTCAACTGTCAGAAAAGACACTGTACCTTTTATTGTGGTGAATAAGAAACAACTCTCATCTTGAAAGTTTTGAACCATCTACAAAAAAAAAAAATTTTTTTAAACCCTCCTGAGTATGACCAATGCAAAAAATAAATACATCAGATATTAGCCACAGCCTTTTATAAGCAAACGCGTATTTTTTGTTTTATTCAGCAAGTGACAAGCGTATACCAAATTAAATTAAAATACATTACTGTCAAAATACTGCTTGTTAATCACGTGACAGGCAGCTGTTACTGTTGGCTGTGGTTTTGGAACTCTAAATATGTGTAGCAGATGCTTGAATAAGCTGAGTTCAACAGTATTTAAACGCTCCCTGCCTTTGGGCATGTTCAAAATAAACATATACTAAGTAAGTACTGCAGCACCTCAGAACTATATAGACCAGTTGCCTTTCTCTTCTCGTAATTTGAGTTTATTCAGGTAGGGGAAGACTGACATTTAAAGGATCCTTCTGCTCATTTTAATGTAAAGGAAAAAATACTCTTAGTGTCAGAGAATACTAGGTTGCCTTATCAAACAGAAAGAATGGTAATAAAGAAGCAAGCGTAAGAAAATCTTCCATTCTATTTAATTCATAAATAAAATTTGTCAAGAAAATAAAATTTCCATTACCTGATCACTAACAAGAATGTGGATACCTGTGGGACCCTGTCTGTAAACCTGGTTGATCTGATGCAAAGGAATATTAAATGCCAAAGCAAGCTTGCGTGTGACTTCTGAGGCTGCCATTTCTTCTAAGTAGATTGCATGATAAACTACAAGAAAGAAATTTATTTAAATAAGCACGGTACTAATTGATAACAAGTAACCATATGAAAAAAATCTGAATTTGTTTATACCCCTGCTTTAAAAAAAAATTAAAAGCTAGAAACCTTTACTTTACTTTCCCCCTGTTCTCACTAAGAAGCATGAACTGCCACAGCTTTTCTTTCAAGGTAAAGCCATAACCACACCTCTCTGACAAGGGGGAGGCTTCTATTTGCTCTGATACTGAAAGCAACTTCCACATTTGTCCCCTGTATCCTGCACAAAAAAGCAGTCATGTCAGACAGACTTAAATGGGTCTTTAGAGAGTCACCTGAAGATGGACTTTTGGATGAAGAAGTCCATGGTGACTTTGGATGAAGTACTTTTGGACCATCTCAAAAGAAGCAGGTAACATGTCTGACTTGTACTACTACGCCGTCACTTTAAATAGGGATGTAGATTTTTTTTTTTTGTTTTTTTTTTTTTTTTTGTAAAGAAAGCCTTTTTCAACTGAATAAATCTCCTACAGATCATCTCAGAGCTGAAGGGGGGCGGGGGGGAAATACAACACCGCAAACAAACAGAACAGTAAGACAAAGTAGCTATTCAGTTCGATGGTGTATTTACAGCTCTATAGCTTTATTTAATAGTGCTAGAAGCCCTTGGCAGCTCCATGTTTGCACATTCTTCTGTCCCAAACTAAAGACTGAAGATACCCAGAGGGAAAGTATGTATTTGACAGAGACAGTATCCTATTCACAGATCCTCCTCCACCTCAGTTCTTGCATGGAAAATACACAACTACTATCACAGCAGCAGCCTACAGATTTCAGTTGGTTGGGGAGGGAGGTCTCTTCACTCAAAGCCAAGAGCAAGAAAATAATCCTTTCAAATAGCTCCATTCTCCTAACTGTAAGATTGACACGAATTTACAATTAACTATTACGTTCCCATCTGTGTTGAAACAACAGCTATCTCTCAGGAAAATAACAATAAAATCATGAGCCCGTACACTGCGTGGCTGTTTTTCCTTGTCCAAGCCCTACCAGTTTTAGTTCAGTTGCACAGAAAACGACAGCAAAACCTAACTGAAAATGGGAAAGAATCCAAGTGTTCTATTTGCATGTAGCTTTACATGCACCTACATTTATCTGGTTAATACCTTGGCTGTAACAATGTAGCACAGCTCATTTGAGAGCTCCTTAATTAATTGCCATGTAACTACAGTTAGTTTTACCAATGGACTGGGGGGGGGGGAAAAAAATCTATGATTTAACCTTGAGAGGTTTTAAGGTTCTGCTCATCCCATGCAGTGTTAAAACAACAATGTTTTTCTGAATACAGCTTCCTATGGTTTCTCTGTACACCAGAAACAGAAATTCAGCCTCTCCACTCTTCTTTTTTCCTTCCCATCTATCTTGGTTTAGACTTCTTAAGACACAGAAATGGCAAGCTAAGAGACCCCCTACGCGCCATACCGTATATTGCACCATTGCTGCTATCACCATTGCCTGCATCTTGTCTTTCCAGTTGTATGCTCCTTAATGGCTCCTGACAGACATAGATTGTTAAACGGGGCCTAACAGACCTGCAATTCAAACAGATCGCGTATCAGAGAAAAGATTACTTGCCCTGGAAATACAGAAACCGATATGCCACAAATCTAGATTTGTTGTGCCTAATAGTATACTTGAAATGTTTTCTTTCACTGACCAAAAAAAAAAAAAAGAAAAAAAAAAAGTAACGTAATGGTAAGCAGCCTCTCAGATGCTACTACATTTTAACAAAAATCAATTCCAAGTTCAGCAATACGCTGCTTGTTGGAATCCTGGAACATAACTACTGAGTAACAATGACAATTCTTATAAAGGTTAATGGTAGCAAATACCCGTTTCAGTCAGAATCAGATACATCAGTTGGGATGCGGTCTGTACCCTCAAAAGGCCTCCGGTTGTTCTGAGCTCCCCTAAATGAGAAGTTTTGTGTCTTGGCACAAATCCGTCTGTTTTCAAGAAACGGGCAGTGCCCAGCTGCACCGGTAGCGGTCTTACGGCCTACCTTTGAACTTGTGAGTGCCTGCATCTCACCCAGGGTCTGCCCTCACGGCGCAGGAGGCTCTTTTTAAACATACTGCTGCCAGTTCCTGGGACAGCTCACACAGGCATCGGGGCCCATCCTGACCCTGACTTCCCAGATCTCCCAATTCTAAGGATGAGGGATTCCAGTAAACGACAGAACAAAACCCACTCGGCCTCACATTCAACATATTACCTGGATTTCAGTGCATTATATAGCCGAATCCCATCGGCTGGACCACAGATTTGTACCAGATCTTCTCTTGTCAGCTTTAATAAATCAGCACCTAGAAAAAAACATGATTGTACGAAGTTTATTTTAGAACACCTATACTTTTAAAAATAAATTTTATATTAATTTAAACAAAGAATAACGAACTCCACCATTATAAAAATGGAATCCTGCAAACATAAACAAGCAAGTAAAAATTAGAATAGGCACTAGCTAGCACTAAGAAAAAAACGACCTATTTTCCAAAGGTGGTTAGTTTCACTTGATGGTGTTCACATCTTCAGAAAAGTACAAAGTCTGCAAGCACACAAATTTTTGTAGAGACAGATGATTGTTCTATATCCGGACAACAGGTTAAATGACTCAAAGTTTTAACTGACACCCAGGTTAATGTATTTTAGACACACGGAAAATACTGAGCAAAGATATTTGATGGTTTCTCACATGCAGTGACACTCAATGAATCATCCCAGACATTCAACTAATACATCAGATCCTCTACGCACTTGAGTTATTACAACGCGCTCATTTATAGAAGATGCTGCTAAAGGCTGGCATAACTAAATCAGCGTGGGCAAATCAGTAAATTAGCCGCGTATGGGGTGAATCCAGGTTATGGGATACTTCCATCCAAAAGCAGGGGTTTTTTAAATGATCCTGGGAATAAGTGATCTGTGAAAACAACTGCTTTCCAGAACATTTACTTTGGAAAAGGAAGCTTCAGTAAAAGATACTAAGCAGATCTAAACACAAAATGGAAGGAAGGATCCTTCTTACAAGCAGCACGGGCGTCAACAAAGAAATAAACAGTCTGAAAAATCAGTCACTGTAATAGATGAGTGGGAGGACAGGAAAAAAAAAGATAGTCTTTATTTGTGAAAATACTCCACAGACAATCTAGGAATGCATAGGTAAAAGCCAGCAAAAATAATGTCACCATAGCCCTTAAGTACTATAACAGAAAAAAAACCCACCGCACCTGAAGAAGTATAATAAAAGCTACACTACACCTCTTGTTTCAAAGAAAATCTATCAGCCAGCTAGTATTTGACTTCTATAAATGTATAAAGATAATAATGAAAAAGAAGAACTGCTTTGGAAGTTTTTCCAAGAGTCTTTGTCAGAAATTTGGTACTAAAGTTTACTGAGAAAGCTTTGCAATCGTAATACGAGAAGCACAGATCAAAAACTAACCAGCAGCAGAAGAATAAATGGTCAATTTCCAACACTACGAGGGCTGACTATAAAATACTGTGCTTTTTCATTAGGTCCATACTATTTAAAACAAAATCATCATGCCACTGATTAACTAAGGAGCCTTAGCATGTCAGTCTTGAGCTGGTGGAGCTGCTGGTTCCAGGGAAGCTTGCGGCAGTACCGCCCGCTGGCGGACAACAACGGGTTGCTTTGCTAGAAGGTGCACTGAGCCGCGCTGAGGAGGGAAACCCAGGACGGCACCAGTTTATTGCTGAGATCGCTAGTAGTGCCAAGTGGTTCTTACACATTATATATGTTATTTTGTGGGGTTTTTTTCCCCTCAAAGAAATCATGTTCTTATGTGCCAAAAGCTGCATTTTTTCCAGAGGCCTCACTACCATCTCAAAGTCTGGTCCGTTTTTATTTGGAGAAGTCATGCTGCCTGTGCATAGGAAAACATCGTGGACCCCTGGGGTCTCAAAGTTTTAGTTATTTTTAAGATATTACTATATTATTATTAGCAGTAGTTTACAAAATTTTAGTTATTGCTGCCCATATTGATGTCAACAGAACTATACATAAGTAATTTTTATCAACACCAAGTTTCCATACTGTTTGCTAAGGAAGGTACTGCAAAATCCCGGCTCATTCGTTAGTGAGATGGCAGAACTTCCTTTTTCAGGGTTGGATGACACCTCCACAGCTTGTTCAGGAAGGCCAAATGTGAGCTTATTTCTCAGAACCTGTATATCCTAGCAGAAAACACTAGGCAGCAGCAAACATAAATAATTAGCTACAGAAAAGACAAAACTTCTAGTCTTAGGGAATTCAATGCCACATTTGAGAATCTGCACTTTTGGTCTTGACCAGGGAAGATGCCTGGTACAAAGGGAATTCTGGCAGAAGCATGATCTAAGCTCCGCGGCAGAGAGCAGGAGTTATTCCTCAGGTCCTCCCCATCAGGTGTCACCAAAGAAAACTGAGAAGGAATTTTACTCATGGTGTGTACTGTGTCATCCCACCCTCTGCACAATTACATGGAGGATTAAAGAAGCGAACAGCAAAACATAGCCCCAGATAGCGCATCTATTGCTATTTCTTGCTTCCACACATACAGTGGAAACTACACTGACACACATTTAAGG